TTATTAACTAAGTTAAAATTAATAAATTTAAAAAAGAAAAATAATAATATAATAAGTAAAAAAGTAAAAAAAGTAATATTAAAAAGCTTTATATATTTAAGGAAATTAAAAAAATATTAAATAAAACTATTACTAATTAAAAATCTTAACTTAAATTTTTTTAAAAAGTTAATAAAAATAATAATAATAATAAGTAATATAATTTATATATTATAAAATATTTATATTAAATATATAATAAAAGAAAATAATAATAATAATAAAATAATAAAAAAAGGTTTAATAATAAATTATAATAATAAATAATTATTTTTTTATATTTAAAAGAAAATAAACTTTTATAATAGTAAAAGAATTTTTATTATTATTTTTATTATTATTTTTATTATTATTTTTATTATTATTTTTATTATTATTTTTATTATTATTTTTATTATTATTTTTATTATTATTTTTATTATTATTTTTATTATTATTTTTATTATTATTTTTATTATTATTTTTATTATTATTTTTACTATTATTTTTATTTTTATTATTAATTATTTTAAAGTATATTAATTTAAAATTATTACTAAAACTTAAAAAAAAAATAATAATAAAACTTTTAATTTTATTAATAAAAAAATTAAAATTAATAATAATTTAATAAAAAAATTTTTTTTTATAAAATTTTATAAAATTAATAATATTTACTTTATATTTAAAAACTTATATTATTTTTAAAAATACTAAAACTAATAAATATAATAATTAATATTACTTAAGTTTTTTAAGCTAATATAAGTTTTAAAAGTAATTAAAAATAAAAAAATAATTTTTTTTTATTTTTTTTTTTATATATTTTAAATAATTTATAAAATTTATTTAAAATTTAAATTTAAATTAATAATAATATTAATATTTATAAAAAAAGTATATTTTTTATAAGTATTAAATATATAAGTATTAAATATATAAAAATTTATAATAATAAAATAATAATATATAATAATTAATATAATATAACTTTTATATATTAAAATAAAATTATAATAATATTATTAAGTAAAATATATATATATAATATTAAATAATATAAATTATATATATTATTTTAAATAATATTTATAAAATATATAAACTTTTTTTTTAAAATATTTTTTATTATTAGTATTTTAAATAAAAGTAAATATATTTATATATTTTTATTTAATTATTATTTTATTTTATTATTTTTATTAATTATTATTTTATTTAATATTTTAAGGTTTTTATTTTTTATATTATTAATAATTAATAAATAAACTTTTTTAATAATTTAATTTTTAATTTTTATTATTTTTTTTAAATTTTTATTAAATAAATAATATTTTTTATATAAATATAAATAAATTTTATTATTTAATTAAAAGTTTATTAGTTTATATTTTTTATTAAAAATAAATTTTATTAATATTTTTATTTTATTTATTTATTTAATTAATTTAAATTTTATTATTAATTTATTTAATTAAGTTATTTTAATTTAAGTATTTTTTTTATAAAAAAACTTTTAATTTTTAAAATAAAAAAATAATTTAAAAATATTAATTTTTATTAAATTTAAATAAAAATTAAGTTTTATTATATTAAATAAAAATTAAGTTTTATTATATTAAATAAAAATTAAGTTTTATTATATCAAATATATATTTATATATATATAATTAAGTTTAATATTTATAAATAATATTAATTTTATTAAATTATTTATAAATTTAATAAAAAAATTAAAATTATAAAATATATAAAATTTAAACTTATAATTTATTAAAATAAATATAATAAATAAATTATAATTAATTATATTATTTTAGAAAATAATTAAAGTATTAAAAAACTTTTATTTTATTTTTTAAAATATTAGATAATAAAACTAGGGTACTAGATAATAGTTCTCTTAATAATTACTTACAATAGTATTATATAATAGTTTAGTAGCTATAGCCCTTATAATTATAGGGTAATAAATATATAAGAATAGTAGCAAAGGTTTAACAAATCCCCATTTAAATTCAAAGGCAGTTAGCTATGTTTTTTGGTAGCAACCTCTGTACCCTTACTAACCCCCACCTTCCTGTTTCCCCTCTCCGATACATAGTAGTGTTTCATAGTAGCTTAATAGGCCGGCTATAATACGTGTTGCAACCTAACACCATAAGACACACTGTTAATACAACATTTTATTCGTCACTCAGCATTATCATCTAAGATGGATTTCTCCAGGTTCAGCAAGAATCTCTCGTAAGTTCACCATTGTCTGCCTTTGTCGCTCTCTCATGGTCATATTCTAATTGCGAATCATGGTAGAGATTTCAGCGCGCAAATAACTCCATTTGCATCGCGCACTTTCCAGTTTACCAAAGAACAACTGGGACAGGCTGAAGATAGAGTAAGTGACTGTCGGTAGGAAGCTGTCTGTTAGCCAATATGCACCTCTAACTAGCTGATGTTACAGACCCAGCTTCCTGCGGATTATATCGACCTCGAGAAGAAAGTGGATGCTCTGAAACAGGCACACCAGAGAATGCTTGCAGTGACGTCTGTTACTCGACCAGGTTGAATTTGTCAAGGCCATGCTAATGTGTATAATTTAATAGCTCTCAATACACTACTGAAGCGTACGATTATCCTCCCAATATCAAAGAGACTTTCCAGGATCTGGGTCGAACTGTGAGCGAGAAGGTTAGCCTCCTTTCTTCAGCTACATCTACCGCGGAAGCACAGGCAGCTCTCGTGGCCCCGGCCTCTGCGAAGCCGCAGCCAAAAACCTTCAACCATGCCATCTCTCGTGCGAGTTTATCCAGCAGCCAGCTTTTGCATCAGCATCATACAGGTGCAGGGGAAGATCCTCTAGCGACCGCTCTGGAGAAATATGCGCTTGCTATGGAACGAGTGGGCGATGCTCGCCTTGCTCAGGATTCACAGATTCAAAGTCGTTTCCTCGCCGGATGGAACACGACCCTCAACACAAACCTTACATTTGCAGCACGCGCCAGGAAAAATGTGGAAAATTCGAGATTGACACTCGATGCTGTCAAAGCTCGTGTAAAGGGAACAACCTTCAGGCTTGGTGGCCAAGCTCGGACTGACCATCCGGACGATGCTGAGTTGAGTTCCGATGCTCAGGAGGAGATTGAGAAAGCAGAAGACGAATTTGTGACGCAGACGGAGGAGGCAGTTGGTGTTATGAAGAATGTAGGCTCATTTATTATACCCTATCTGGAGACAAGCCGCAACTAATCAATCATACGCCTAGGTTTTGGATACGCCCGAGCCACTCCGCAATCTTGCGGAACTAGTTGCAGCACAAATGGAGTACCATAAGAAGGCATATGAAGTTTTAAGCGAACTCGCGCCAGTTCTGGAGACTCTGCAGACGGAGCAAGAAGTAGGCAGCACTTCCAAATTCTCAGCACTATAACGGGGAGCTGACATGAGGGCGTTAATAGGCCAGCTACCGAAGAAATCGCGATATGGCTTGAAGAATGTCTGACGCTTTTTTAGACTATTGTGTGATGGAATAAGACCTTCAATTTTGGCAGAAGACAGATTAATGTTGTTAAAAAAGATATCTTGATACTGAATGCGTTCAGATTCTTTTTTTTTTTTTTTTTTTTTTTTTTGCTTTACCTAGGTGCGGTGGCTGTGATGGCAGGCAATATGGCTGGTGCATCCATGTAAATACTGTGTAGCTCTCAGTACCACTAGTGTAAATACTGTGCTAAACTTGAGATCGAAATTTAACAATGTTAATCATTCACCAAAAGACGATCGCAGAAGGCGAGAGGCACGCAAGAGTCAATCACATAATTATTTCTCTTTCTTCATGGGTTCCAAAGACATTTTGCACGAGAGCCCGAGCCGTTCTCGTGGACAGTCCTTCCAAGCTTTCAAACAGTCTAGCGGCAATACTCAATTTGCTCTAGCAGGTCTTTCAGAATATGACGAGGACCCGAGACTATCAGCGAGGCAATTTCCACATCAAAGGCTAGACTTGGAGGAAGATGAGAAAAGAAAACCAAGTCCCAAGGGCGGACAGCAGAGGCCAAGATTACGGGATGACGACCGGAAAGGCCACTTGGATGTAATATTACGTGCGACTGAGCAGTTTCTCGCTCAAGGAGATGTCGCAAAAGCCGCCAAAGCTTTTGGCATTATACTTCAGCTAAGGCCAAGGACGCAATTCATTGATATCCGGCTTCATAATCTGTGGTCCATCGGAGCAGAGATTCTCATGCGGCAGAGGGAGAAGCTGGAAAACGCAAATCAGCATTTACCAGAGCATTCATCCCCTGGTCAAGACGGTCATGCTTTTCCAATGGCCGAATCTCGATGGAGATTTTCTAGCAGCATGAGCCAGATAAAGTCATATTTTGAAACTTTGATTCGCCGGTACGCATTCGACCATAAACTGCCACACAAGCTCTCGGCACTTGACTTTTGGTTGGCCTTACTGAGCTGTGAACTGGGTAACATCTACACAGAGCATTTAGGAGCCATCGCTCGCCTGGAGAAGGAGATCAGGCTCCAAAATACAGATCATGCGCATCCAGATCCTTTAATGTCGGCTTCACCCAGTACAGGCGATCCTGGACAACCTGATTTTGAAAGCGGTAGTTTTGAGCTACAGTATGAAACAAAAGGGCACTGGGCCAAGAAACAAAAAGAAGCAATCCGCCAACGCACCCTCGGGGGACTGCAGTATATTAACCTGAGGGCAGAGAAACTTATGGACCAGCTACCGTACTCTAAAAACGCCCGTTTCTTGCAACTGAAAGAGATGGCATCGCTCCTCTCAGCTGACCTTGCATCATCTCCGATTGTAACTTGAGAGCACCAAAGAGTTGAAGATCTTGTAATTACACAATTTAAAGTACGACCCCATAGGCCAGCATCAATTGGCGTTGACGAGACACAAGGTTTCCTGTCGATACTATATCCAGCTGATGGAGAAAATCGTTTACTTCATTAACTAGATATATTATATTAGTAGAATGTTTTAACACGGTAGAGCAAAAAAACATACTAGGTAGTTGGCTGATGTCATGAATTGTATGAGGGAAGCTTGTGATTAATTCGCCAGTTTCGACATTATATAGAGGAGCGAGCACTGAATTATCGCGATTGATTGTACTGTTAAAAGATCGAGCAACATCATTTCGTCTTCTGAATCATTGTTAGTAAACTGGCGTCCCATGAAGATACTTTACTTACGATGATGAAACTCTAGTGTTGACAGCTTGGATAGCGGCGTAAAATTCAGAGCGTAATTCAGCTATGCTTCGAAGAATCCTCTCGGTATTGGCATTAACGTTGTCTATTAAAATCATTAGCATGCATAGCCGTGGATATATGAATCAGTTTTGATCCTACTTTGAACAGATGCCAGGCTTTCATCCACAATCGCGTGAAGGCGCGTCTCATTATAATTTGGCGATGGGAACTCTGTATACTGGGAGCAAGCATCTAGTTGCTCGGCAATAGTACGAAACGCAGTAGCAGCAGCTTGTACGTCTGGGATTCGCGGCTCTACCGTCTCGGAGTCCATGGCGAATATGGTAAGATTCAGAGCAAGAATGGAGATTGTCGGAGTAGAGAAATGGATTGGGAAAAAAAAATTACACTGGTTTTGATTATGATGACGAGTACTTCGTGGCGCCAAAAGTGTTCCGTGCTAAAGTGGCATCGCTAAGCAAAGTCAAGGGAAACCTCGTTCTTACCTCAAGCAGGAAGTAATTCGCGTTTCGGAGCCCAACGCTGCAGCAACAAGGCAGTATTGGAGCTTCCAACTACAACACACCATTCTCCTCCAGGACTCCATGACGCCTGCCTGCCCACGAAGTTGGCCGATGACGACTCTATCTTATGGTGTCGTAACGGCTCATGAGCATCCTCCATGCTGTATTTCGTTGCCCATGATTCTAGCGTCTCTGGGCTGAACTCATGAGAGTCTATTTGGTTTATATATACTGGAGTCGACGGATCTTGGTCACTGTCTGTTGCCCGAGGCTTACTTGAAGTATCTGCCTTTGCGCGAGGAATAACCGGTTTCTGCCAGCTTGGTAGTTGTAGTGGCTTGCTTTTGTCGGTGGAATTCGCCAGCGCCGACATCACGTCGCGGTGAGTCGTCAGGCGTTTCAAATCCCAGAAGAATATGTTACCTGCGGCATTACAAAACGCAAGCACCGGGTTCTGATTAGGAACATGGTGTAGCTTGAAGCGCATGAAGAACTGGGGTCCACAGTTCGGAGTGTGGAACGCTAACAGTCGTGTATATTGGACTGGGCACTGAGGGGATGTTAAGGGGACAAAGGCAGATCGCGTTAGTCGTCCGGGATCCTCATAGTTGGTTGGGAGTACGTTTTGTGGCGTAGGAGCAGTGCTTTGGGCTGGCAGAGGGTCGTCTGAGGAGAATCCCTCGATCTTCCATAACACGATAACATCGTCGTGGCATGCTCTGGACAGGATGAGATCCCCATAAAATGAGACACTAGAATACTGTTAATACTGTCATATGCCGCCTCTATGAGATCTTACCAATCAACAATGCCGCTGTGGACTGCGGAAGTTGAAAAATGAGGATAATGAACCTGCAGAGGCGTAGCTATTGTTTCATTAGGGAGCTCGGGAATAGTCCACTGTAGACGAGGACCGTTAGCGAATTGTGATGGAGAGGGTATTTTTCGATTTCATACTAGATTGATGATCTGGTCGTGACCACCTGATAAAAGATATCGGCCGGTTTCGTGAAAAGCCTGCGCAGAGTTAGCGGAATCTCTGAGGCGGCGATAGATCGTAGTGGTGAAGGCATCTATCTTACTACGCTGAGGAGATTCCACGAATGGCCCTCTCCAGCAAGGATACATAAACACGGCTGGCTCCTGTGCTTTTCTTCAAAGCTCCATATCCGTATACTCGTATCATCAGAGGCTGAGGCGATGATATGAGGATTGACTGGAGAAGTTGCTAGGTCGTTCACGTCCTTTGCTTCAATGAGTAAATTGGCTCCAAAGGCGAATCGCTGGTAGAAGACGCACCCCGCCATGGCCGACAAAGCACTAAACACGTGAGACCTTTCAGCTCAGATACAATTTCTGGTGTCCAGAGAGCTGTGATGCGCACCTCGACCAACTGTCCGTCAATCACGTCGTATATCTTGACTTTGGCATCCACGCCGCCAATGCAGATATATGGCTTTCCATGCACAATATCCATCGTCCAAGTACAGCAACAGCTAGCGGCTTCGTCCTAGGAATAGCTCAGCCAAGGCAAACATGTGGCAGCGTGGAAGAGACTTACATCGTCATCTCGTATGACATTGATAACTTGACATGGGTTAGCTTCATTTGGGTCCTTGGTGAGTCGACAGATGATCACCTAGTTGGGCGTGTTAGAAAGCTGGTGATATCATACATCCAGATAGAAACGCCAGAAGGTACATCTACCGCCGTTCGTTCAACTTACATGTTTCTTGCTGATCGCAGCAAAGACGGGCTCATGGTCGAGTGGCTGGTAGGGACAGAATTTGACGTCAAAGAACTCTATTTGTTATTTACTGAGGTCAATAATTCATTGCTTGTATCACAATATAGCTGTTTAGGTGAGCTGTGGTGCCTACCTGCAATATTATCATCACTGCCGAGAAACCTGGTGTCATTCTGCGAATGAGAGATGTAGTGTTAGCCTCTAGAAAGGTGAGCGTTATGCAATTGTGCTCACCTCTAGAGAGAAGGATGTGCGTAGTTTGGGAAGCTCAAAATTTACATCGTCAGTGGTAGCCATCCCGAGCGGTGATTTCCACAACGTTGTCGTTGAGAAATGAGGTAAAGGATAAAAAAAAAAGAAGGCGAAGCGAAGGAAATAGGTAAGGTATGTAGTTTAAACAATTAGATAATCATCAGGTACCCGGCGGGTTAAACAGGGTAAGTTGATGCCAGCGGCGCCCAATAGGTATATGGGACTATCTTATTAAAGGTCTTAAGGCACCTTTGATATAGCTGCCCTATTATAACCCTTGTATTTTATATAGTATATAATTATAATTTTAATTATAATAAACCTCATGCTATATAAATTAGTATATGTGATAATGGATTTAACTAGAAGATAATTAGGTAAAAGGTATATTTAATAACTAACTTAATACCTTTACTTATAATTTATACTAAATTCAACTTAATTTTAATTCCTTTTTATAACCTAGTTATTTAGTAAATATATTTCTTTTTATTATTACTATTTTAGCTTTTTTTACTTTTTTCCTAGTTTAAAAACAAGTTAAATATATAAATAAAAAGCTAATTTTTAGCTTATATAAATTATTATTAAAATACTTATTTAAAAATACTTAAATACTAATTTTTATTAAAAAAAATATATATATAAATTAATATTTTAATTTATATAAGAATTTATAAGAAAATATATTTTTAAGAATTATTAAAAAACCTTTAAGTTAAAAAACTTTTATTTAAATTAATTTATTATTACTTTAATATTATTTAAATAATTTAAGTTAATTTTTTAATATTTTTAAATTTTTAACTTTTTTTTTATAATAATTACCTTTTAAAGTTATTTTAATATTTTAATAAATAATTTTTATATATATAAGTTATATTTCTTATAATTTATATACTAGGTATTAATATTATTATAAATAAATATATAATTTACTATTAAAAAAGTTTTTTAAAATAGTATTTATTTTTTTAAAGTTAATTTTAATTAGAGTTAAAGCTTAAGTAATTACTTAAGCTAAGGATTTTTTTTAATAGTAATTTTATATACTTTCCTTAGTTATATTTTAAAAAAGAAAATAATTATAAAATAAAAAAGATTTTAATTATTTAGTATTAACTTAAGCTATAGTTTTTTCTTTTATTAACTAACTAGAAAATATTAACTTTTATATTTTTATAAATAAATTTTTTTTATAATAACTTTTTTTTACTTTTTTTTAATAAAAATAATAATAAATTTAATTTAAATTTAAATTAATTAATAATATTAATAAATTAAAATAAACTAGTAATAAAATTAAATACTAATAAAATAACTTAATAAGTAATTTTATTTTATATTTTTTATATTTAATTTAATTTAACTTTTTTAAATTATTAATTTTTTATATAATAATATATATTATTTTCTTTAATTATATTTATTTTTATTTTTTAATATACTTAATTTTAATATTTATAATCTTTTATTAAAATTTATTTTTAATATAATTATATAAGTTTAAAAAACTTATAAAAGCTAATATAATAAAAAATTATATTTACTTTTTAATTTAATAATTAAGTAAATAAAAATATTATAAAAAAAATATTATTTTTAGTTTTATTAGATTTAATAATATTAATAATATTAGATTATTAAAATTACTTATAAGATTTAAAATAAGATTTTTATATTAAAAATAAAGTTTTTTACTAATAACTTAATATAATATTAAACTAATAAAAAAGTTACTTATATAAAAGCTAGTAAATATAAAAAGCTTTAATAATTTCTTTTTAGAAAATAAAAGAAAATAATTATTAAATATAATTTAAAGTACTAGATATTATTATAATATATAAAACTTTAATATTAATATTATATTTTTTTTTTTACTATAATAAGGTAATTTTATAATAATAAAATAATCTTATAGCTAATTATAATAAATAATGAATAAAGAAAAATAAAGAATAATAATAATTATTATTAAACTTAAATTATTATAATAAATAACTAAAGCTTAGCCTAATAATTAAACTAAAATTAAAAAAACTAAAATACTTATAAATAAATATAATAAGTAAAAAAAAAAAGAAATAATAAAAAAAGCTTTTATTTTTTTTTAAAAAAAATAAAAGTAATTAAATTTAATAAATATATAATAAAAGAAAATAATAATAATAATAATAAAATACTAAAAAAAAAGTTTAAAAATAAACTATAATAGTAAGTAATTTATTTTTTTATATTTAAAAGAAATTATAATTTTTTATTCCTTTTTTATTATTTTTAATTTATTTTTAAATTAAATATAAATTTATTTTTTATAATTATATAATAAAAAAAAATATTATATCAAAATTTATTATTTTTTATACACCTAATATATTAAGTAAAATTTTTTTTAAATATTTACTATTCAAGAAAATAATAATTTTTTTTATTTAAATCATAAGTATAATTTTTT